TGTGTGTGTGTGTGTGTGTGTGTGCATGTGTGTGTGGAAGAGGGAGAGGGAGAAAAACAGATTAGACAATTTAAGACTTTGTCATAAGACATTTGGTATCTCAGAGATTAATCATTACTATCTTATTTGGAAGTTTTACTGAATAACTAATGAAAATACAGTAGCATTTGTTAGAAATACATTTAACATAAATAAAATGAATCTGTTAAATAACAAGAACATCATAAATATTATTCTGGCATTAAGGAACGTGAATCTTCAAATGAAAGGAGAGGAAGATTTGCTGGACTCAGTTTTGACCTTTATAATTTCAACCTATAGACAGTTGCCATCAGGACTCACATCTCTAATTCAGATGTGCTGGGAGATTACAGTATAAATCTCTGACCAACAAACAGGAGGGAGGACAAGAGGTCTGCATAACATTCCATTTGGTAAAATGGATGTATTCAGATTGGAACTGGACTCCTCAAGCCGTCTAAATAAACACACGTTTATGCTTGCTTTTGAGGCATAATCAGATAAACGGTAAATCAGATAAACGGTAGGTGATGACCACGGGGAGGAAAGAGGAAAGTTATTCAGAAAATAATGTTTATGAAGTTAAAATTTCTAGGACGAGAATATATAATATCTACTCAAATCTGTCCCTTACTGGTTTAACATAAAAACTTACCTGTCCAGCAGTCAAGACAACATATGTGAAAATGTTAGGACCTGAAATGTCCATGAAGGCTTTTGTGACTTGTGAAGATGCCATTTGTTTTCCAAAATCTACAATAAACAAGTTAAAATAACTAAGCCTCATCTCAGTATAAGACCTACTACATGGTCATAATGAATTATACAGGGCCTATGAGGCTTTGAGGTAATGCAAACACAACTGTTTTTAGTGCTTATTTCCGAATCACTATTTTTGTGTGTATCTACCCAGCATAGATGTTACGGCTCATTGAGAACCAAATGGTTTGTCTAGGTGGCCACGTTCTCATGGTCAAAACAGCTCATGCAGAGATATGTGTGTTCGCTCCGCTGACGCTCTCACCCTAGGAATAATAATAGGTAGGAATACAGTTTATTATTGAGCACTTATAATATATAAGAGATATTAGGAAAAGAAATAGTTTCTGGTCTCATTTGAAGTGAGGAATCGGGCAGAATAGTGCTTTAGATTGTCTAATTGGAGGGGAATATTCTGTCCAGCAAAATAGTAGCCTTGATCCTTAGAGCCAGACCCTTGCATTATTAAGAAAGTTCTTAAGCCAGATTGATAGATCTGAGCAGGCATAGAACTCTCCTAGAAGATATGTATTTATAGAGTTTGCAGGCATGGATAGTCAGAGGAAGCCTTGGGCTTCTAACTGGAGGCAGTGATAGAAATTGAGAACATTTCCATGTTATTCCTGACTTCATAAGGGTTCCAGCTATTTCTCAATTTTACTGAGATCCTTCAACAGCTTAGAAGGATGTTGAACCCTGAAAGAAAGCAGAGATGATAAGAACAGGGACCTTACTGTTGACAGTTAGAATCTCCTGGGTGAATCCTACAGTTGATCCAAAGCAAGAGTTGACGGGAAAGAAATGTATTTTCCACATGGCATCAAAATATGCTTGATATTATAGTGGATCTTCAAAGTAACCCTGGACACAGTTGATCAGTGGACATGCCTCTGTGGCCCTATTTAAATTAATAGAAACATTTCTTGAATTAGATTTTCCTCAGGTATCATATGCCTATACTGTTCTCCGCCCCCCCCCCAGGGAAATTGCTGTTTATTAAGAACATAGGAAAACAGTGCTGTATGAGATCATCACAGTCAGTGTATACTTACGATGAAGACATTGCTGGTCTAAAAATAGATGCACTTGGGCCTGAGTTAAAATCATGTGACAAATGTGTTTTCATCTGTCACTTCCTAGAACTGAGCACCGTCTCTGAATGCCAAATTAGAAAAAGAAGAGTTGGCCGCTGAGTCCATTCCCCAGTCACTGGCTGTGGCTCCAACACATTTTACATGACTTCTGAGGACATCCTTAATGTGACAAAGATTACAGGCAGAGCTTCAGCAGCAGGAAGAAGTGCAGCACACGGGGTGGGAGCAGGTGGGGCTGACACAGGTCACAGGTAGGGCAAGAGCAAGTGGTGTGGCAGGAGACCGGGCCACAGGCTGGGTGCAGGCAGCAGCTGGGGTGGCAACAACTAGAAACATGACATTTGCACAGCAGAGAAACCATAAACAAGACAAAAAGACAACCCTGGAATGGGAGAAAATATTTGCATATGAAACAACAGACAAAAGATTAATCTCCAAAATATACAAACAGCTCATGGAGCTCAATAGCGGAAAAACCAAACCATCCAATTAAAAAATGGGCGGAAGGCCTATACTGTTTTTAACCTGCCTTAATTGGCTGCCTCCACAAAAATACTTAGCAACTTTACTCTTTACATGCAGATGAAATTAGCTCCTTGAAATGGAGAGTGGGGTCAATATGAATGCTTTCTGGGGTGAGCATGGGCTAAGTTTGAATTACTTCTGTAACAATTCAGTCACCTCAGGCTGCTGTTATAAAACAGCATAGACTGGGTGACTTTTACAGCAGACATGTGTTTCTCACGGTTCTGGAGGCTGGGAAATCCAAGATCAAGGTGCAGGCAGATTCGGAGAACTCTCCTGGCTTACAGAAGGTCACCTTCTCTCTGTGTCCTCACATAGTGGACAGAGAAAGAGAGAGGAATCAAGCTATCTGGTGTCTGTTCTTATAAAGGCATTAATCCCATCATTGAAGGCCCTACCCTCCTGACCTCATCTAAACTCAATACTTCCCTAAGGTCCCAATCTCTACATTCCATCATAATAGGGGTTAGGGCTTCAGCATATGAATTTGGGGGGAAACACAATTCAATCCATAGCAGTTGGTAACTAAAACAGGTCATTATTTCAGAGAACAATACAAGTGTTTTCCTCTGTGTGAAAGCATGGGCTGAAAATTAAAAGATGGATACTCAGCTGTATCCCCCAAGGTTTATTTGTTTCCTGAATCTTCAGCTGTTTCATTGGCACTTTATCTCTTTCTTTGGTTTAGACCATGAGATGGGTATCAAATTGTTTTAGAATTTCCTTTTAAACAATGATTAAGGAAACTCCCTGTAAGAAAGAGTACACAGTGTGAAGAATATTGCTCTGCTACTTGGAAAAACTTCATTCTACATAGCCCAGTGGCTGAAAGGAATACGCTGGAAGTCTGAAATATAGGTGGCTTCTACACCCACTCCCCTCTCTTCCTAGCAACTTATATCTCTCATCTCTTCTTAAGCACATCTTTTCTCAGAAACCTTTAATGATACTCGCCGATTACCTACTCTTCTAGGTTGGAATACTTATTCTTTAGTTTTATGACTTTAGTACATTTTTTCTTTCCTTAAATCATTGTTGACAGTATAATCCAACTTGTTTGAATTCCTTCAAAGCACTCACTATTTTACCCTTAAGAAGTTCTCCTTAGGTGGATTCATCTAGTCCATTTTAACTTGCATGTCAGGGGTGGGGATGCTCTAGGTCTGGGGATGCTCTAGGTGTGGGACTGAGTTGAGGCCTCCTTGTTCAAGCTTGCTTTAATAATCCAGGAGAAAAGGTCAATTAAGACAAGTCTATTCTAAAAGCTCATAATTATTTGGAGGAAGCTCTGTGTCCAGCAGCCCAAGTCTAAGCTTTACATGTTTGGCTCCATCAAAATTTGTTTTGTCCCTTTCTTTCTTCCTTCCTTTCCTCTTTCTTTTTTTCCCTTTCCCTCTTTCTTTCTTTCTTTCTTTCTTTCTTTCTTTCTTTCTTTCTTTCTTTCTTTCTT